CACCCCCCCTCAAAAAAAAGTGTATATACGTGTGTGTGTGTGTATGTGTGTGTATATATATATCTTCCTTCTTTAAATATGAATTGGTTCACCCAGAAAATAGCTTCAGGGGCATATAGTAAACTAATGATTTTGAGAATCCCATGGAACTGGAGTTTGGGCAGTTGTTAGCTGCTGTATGGGTGCTGGGATTTGAACCCAGGTCTTCTGGAAGAACAATCAGTGCTCCTACCCATTGAGCCGTCGCTACAGCCCTAATTGTTTTATTTTCATAAGAAGATAAAAGTCTATTAAATAAATATCTTTAGAGTGAGAAGAGAATTTAATTAAAAGAGTAATTTGGTATGTGAAAAAGCAGTCAAGGGACATTACATGTAATCTGCTTTACTCATTATAACTTTGTATACATTTATTTATTTTGTCTTTTTGAGGAAGGGTCCCCCTGTAGCCCCAGCTGACCTGGAATTCACTATGTAGACTAGGTTGGCCTCAAACTCACAGAGATCCACCTGCCTCTGCCTCCTGAGTGCTGGGACTAAAGGCGTGTGCCACCATGCCCAGCAAAAACTGTCTTACTTTTATTAGAGATGTTTTAAACACACACACACACACACACACACACACACACACACAAAACTAATGGTTTTAAGATGGTGCTAGTTAACATTAAGAAAAATAAATACCTTCTATGAACTAAGATATTCAAATATTTTTCAGTTTTTGCAATACAGTTGTTTCTATTGTACCAATTTGAAGGAATCGCTGTCATTTTATTATTTATTTTCCTTGATTATGAACTTGGCAGAACTTATGAAATCTGCAGATTAGAATATGAATTGAGCACTCAGTAACAGTAACATCATATTATAACTCATTACAGATCTTTCAGCAAAGAGTGCCTCTGTTCCAGATGAACTTGGTGCCTGGGGACATTCTAGAACATCAAGCTATGCAAGCCAGCAGTCCAAAGTATCAGGTAACAGTGAAGTTCACTTCCTTATTGTTCTTCAGGAACTTGAAGCTGGGCATGGTAGCACATACCTGTAATCCTAGCAATGGGAGGCCGAGACAGGAGGATGGCAAGTTCAGCGCCAGCCTATGACTGCTACATAATATGAGTGTGTGTCGAAACAAAATAAAAATTAAATAATAAATATGCTCAGGACTGCAATGGTGTGGGAGAAAGAAATTACACTGTGGGGCCAGGGAGATGGTTCAGTCATAAAGTGCAAGCATGAGGACCTATGTTCGAACACCAGTATCACGTAAAAGCCAGCCACAGCAGCTTGTGCCTATGTGTCGGCACTGGGGAAATAGAGACAGGAGCATCCCAGGGCTTGCTGTCAGCCACTCTAGCCAAATCAGCAAGTTCTCAGCAAAATAAAATGAGGGCTGGAGAGATGGCTTAGCAGTTAAGAGCACTGGCTGCTCTTGCAGAGGACCCGGGTCAGTTCCCAGCACCCACATGGTAGGTAACAACCTTCCATAACGCCAATTCCAGGGGATCCAACACCCTCTTCTGGCCTCTATGAGCATTGTACAACAAAGATGCACTTACATACATGCAGGCAATATACTCATACACATAAAAAAATAAAAAATAACTATTTTTAATAAAAATGAAGAGGAATCGAAGAAAACACTTTGTATCAACCTCTGGTTTCCATACATATGCACCCGCACACACACATACATACACATACATGAACACATACTAAATAAGAAAAAGAAACTAGATTGTAGTGTGTCTGGTAGTAGAATTATATGGAAGTGATTCCCACACACACACAGGGTACAGCACGTGCCACTCGCGGTCCTCAAGTTTCTCCGAGTTCTGCCACAGGAGAAACACCTCAGTGGGAAGTACATCAACGGGAATTGAAAGCATTCTAGAGCCGTGTGATGAAACTGAGCAGATCACAGCTGAACCAAAGCTTGATGCAGCCGATAAAGAAGAAGAAGCTTCTGAAAAACTCAACAGGTAGCCTTTCAAATGATAGATTTAAGTTAAAAAAAAACAACTTTTGTTATCATAGAGTAGTTAATAAGAAAGGAGAAAACTGTAATTCTTTTCAAAGATGCCCAGTGAAGCAGGATTCTGTGGAATCTCAGCTGAAGCGGGTTGACAACACCAGAGTGGATGCAGACGACATAGTGGAGAAAATACTACAGAGTCAAGACTTCAGCCTCGATTCCAGTGCAGAAGGTATGCAGGGGACAGATAAGTTTAGTCTGCAACCCACAGCTGTGTAACCCATGGGGTCAGAAGAGGGGCGGAAACCATATCACTGCTGTGTATCTGTGAAGTCAATTTCATGCCCACAAAAATGAAAGATCACTTTGGAGCTTATTTCTGAAAAAGACTATTGAATCTGGAAAAAGAACAAACTTTTAAAAACCAACTTAAGGAGGTGTAAGACATTCAGTAGTAAAGCGGTGTTTAGCATGTATGTGTTCAATCCTCAGCAGTAGGGAATCAATTTTAAGAAAAACTTTTATTTTCTTTTTTAACTTATGCTCAAGGCCTACCATGCCCATACACTTCAGTAGAGGGTCAGGTCACTGTTCCAGTTTGGAAGGTTGGGGTGGTGGTCTTAAAACAGTAGTAAAAACCAAAATCCTGTAGTATAGTCTCTCCAGGCATTTCCCCAAGAATGAAAATTTATGTCACCAGTATGAAAGGTATAATTAGTCACGCTGGCAGGAAGAGAGAACACTTCACAATGGATTGTTTTATTACATAAATGGTTGTAAATAGAAATAATTAAACTTCATGAAAATTTGTAGAAAGAACTGTTCTTATAACTGGTAAAAGAAAAGGCTTTGGGAAAGTTGACGAGAAAGAACTATTAGGCTAGCATTCAAATTGCCTGTTTTAAAATGTGTATAAAACTTTGATTCTTATGGTTTTTTAATAAGTCAACATGTGAAAAATGGATTACTACCATACACATATTATTTGATAGTGGTCTGATAACTGTACATTGAATAGACCTTTCATCTGTGTGTTTCAGAAGAAGGACTGAGGCTATTCGTGGGGCCTGGGGGAAGCACAACTTTTGGCAGCCACCATCTTCCAAATAGGTATGTGGTCCACCAAATACCACCTGTTAAAATATAGACTGACCTAAGTCCATGAAGAGAGGGCTAGACATGTAGCTCACATGGTAGGAGGCCTGCCTAGCATGCATGAAGCTCCAGATTTGGTTACAAGCACTACACAAACTCACCATGGTGTCACCTTAGGAGTTTAAGATCTTTGGCTACATAGCAAGTTTGAGGCCAGGCTGCACAAGACAAGTTGTAGCATGAAAAGGCTATTTTAAAATGAATTTCAGGGGATGGAGAGATGGCTAGCAATTAGGAGCACTGGCTGCTCTTGCAGAGGACCTGGGTTCGGTTCTTAGCATCCTCATGGTGGCTAACAACCATCTGTAGCTCCAGTTCCAAGGGATCTGACACCCTCTTCTGACCTCCACAGGCATTGCACATCATGTGTGCACTTAACACACATTCAGGCAATACACATAAAATAAATAAAATATTTTGAAAGGAATTTTAAATTTTTTTTCATAATTTTTCTTTTTTTGAGACAGAGTCTCCCTGTGGCCCCAGCTGGTCTTGTCCCTATGTAGTTCCAGTCTGGTCCTCATAGTGACTTCCAGACAGGCTGGGACTAGGGAGACCCTGTCAGAAAAAAACCAAGTTACCTGCCAGACTTACAGATTCTCAGTGCACAATGAATGAATTCCTTGTCTAAAGTGCTTAGGACCGAGATATTTCAGATTTCAAACTTTAGATGGTCTGTTTCGAGGTTTTACTATTTATAGTTTTTCAGAGTTTTAGGATTAGTTGCACTGACTTTACCAGTTGAGCATCCCAAATCTAAAAATTTGAAATCTAATCTGCTCTAAAATCTAAAACCTTTTCAGGAATCATGTCAATTTCAGCTTTTCAGATTTGGGATGCTCAACCTGTTTGGTAGTAAATAGTGTGAGCATGGATTGCCAGGGACACTTGAGGGATTCTGAAAACTCCGCTGCTTCAGTGCTCCACTGTGCCGTGGAATATTCATGAGGGGCCCACACACAGGCTACACAGTAAGGCAGAGTTGCAGGAGGCAAGGAGCCTCCAGAGCCAAGACAATTTTGTTTTCTAATGTTCAGAGCTAAAAGAATGCTAAGTTCATTTCTTCTACAAATACTCATTTTAATGTTGAATGTTTCATTTAATCTCATTTAACTCTATGTATCTAGCACATTGCAGAACCCAAAGGGTACAAGATAAAAGTCCAACAGCAAACACCTATGACAAAAACTAACTACAGCCAGGTTGTAGTAGCTTATGCCCCTTATGCCTGTAAACTAACTACAGTTAGGTAGGTAAAAGGACACAGGGTATGTAAACATGATATGAGAAAGTAATCTGAAAATAAATTAATAGAAGTAACACAGTTTCAACCTGTGAACTTTTATTCTTTATCCACTCGGTAAATTCAGTAACTATTTATTGGACAAACCTGTGGATAAGGATACAAGGAGGAAAGACTGAGCTCTTACCCTCAGCTGACGGATGAGCTAGCACAGGGAACATCTGTACTAACTTTTCCAGTAGAGTTGGGACACTATAACCCTTAGGCCAAATTGTCACTGTATGTTTTTTTAGACAAGTTTCACTGAAAACAGTGATACCTAGTCTTTTATATACTGTCTGTGGCTCCTTTGATGCCTTTAACAGCAGTTAAGTAACACAGCAGAGACCATATGACCCACAAAGCCTAAAATACTTACTATCTAACCCTATCTAGCAGGTGAGTGGGAGAAACTAAAAACTAAGTTGATAAGAATTGTAATGCAGAAACCGGGCATGGTGGCGCATGCCTTTAGTCCCAGTACTCAGGAGGCAGAGGCAGGGGGAGGCCAGCCTGGTCTACAAAGTGAGTTCCAGGCCAGCTGGGGCTACAAGGAGATCCTGTCTCAAAAAGACCAAATAATAATAATAATAATAATAATAATAATAATAATAATACTTGTAATGCTGAGAAATAGAGGGGAATCTGAGAGCAAACTTACTTCCTGGGAGAGTTACCAAATGCACATTTAGAGAAGACAGATATTCCTGGTGAGAGGAGCAAATAAAACATTTACAGGTGTGGAATTTATAATAAAATTACAGGTAACATCAAATACTTACTAATTATGTGCCAGGAATAGATACAAGTATTTCATTCATTTCTTATATTACCTCCTTTGGTGCTCACAACATACTCTATTTAGTTATTTTTGAAATGAGAAAAGTAGTAGAAATCATTTGGTGAAGGCCTTAAAACTAGTAAGTGGAAGGGTGGTGAGATGGCTCAGTGGGTAAAAGCACTTGGCATGAAAGCTCAATTTCCTGAGTTCAATCCCCGGAAATGATGTAAAAGTAGAAGAAAAGAACTGTTTCCACAAAGTTGTCCTCTGACCTCCCCATGCATGCAGTAGTATGCACTTGTGCACATGCTATCCTCCCCAATAATAATAAATAAAATTCAAAACTTTTTAAAAACTAGTAAATGGTAAAACCAGATTCATATGATCTCTTTGAGTCCAAAGCCCATCACACTTCACTGTTCCTTTTTGGCTTATTAATTATATAACACACTCAACAAATTGGTATTTAAAAGAGTCTTCTGGCTGGGCATGGAGGTACACATCTTTAATCCCAGCACTCAGGAGGCAGAGGCAGGTGGATCTCTGTGAGATCAAAGCCAACCTGGTCTACATAATGAGTTCTAGGCCATGTCCCCTTATAATTTAAATTGCCTTAAGAGCTAGGCATGCTGGTGTATGCCTTTAATCCCAGTGCTTGAGAAGCACAGGCAGGGAGATCGCTGAGATCAAGGTCAGCTTGGTCTACACAGCAAATTCCCAGCGAGCTGGGGCTACAGGAAGCCCCTGTCTAAAAAAAAAAAAAGGGGGGGGGGATTATGGAGTCATGAAGTTGTCAATGCCTTGGAGCCTAGTGTAAGGGACCATGGTTGATGTAACAGTGTATCTTCTCCCATGTGTACAGTGGATAGCTATTGGTCATGCTTTTGAAGTAAAGTGACCTATCAGAGTGGCATTCTAGAACAGTGGCATAATCTGACCAGAGCAAAGAAAGTCTGGTGGCAGAAAAAGGGAAGTAGGAAGGCAACATCTATGTAAACGCAGAGAAAGGCCAGTAGAATAGAAAGGTAACATTTATACCGGCCATTATGCTAATGGTAGAAAGAACGTGTATTTTTTAAGATTTATTTATTTTTTATTTTAAGTATATGAATGTTTTGTGTATGTATGTGCACCACATGCATTTAGTGCACACAGAGGCTAGAAGAGGGCATCAGATTGCCCTGGAACTGGAGTTACAAAACAGTTGTGAGCCCCCATGTGAGTGCTGGGAACTGAACCTGGATCTTCTGCAAGAGCAGCCAGTGCTCTTACTAAGCCATCTTGCCATCCCATAAGAATATGTCCGTTTTAGTTCAATTGACTTGGGTTCACATCTAACCCGAACTGAACCTGGATCTTCTGCAAGAGCAGCCAGTGCTCTTACTAAGCCATCTTGCCATCCTATAAGAATATGTCCGTTTTAGTTCAATTGACTTGGGTTCACATCTAACCCACCACTTTTGGAACCTGTGTAAATCACTTACTCCCAGTGGAACTTCATCTGCCTCTGGTTAAAAGTGAAGACTGTCATGTCTGTCTCATGGGTTTGTTTGGTTTTGTTTTTTGAGACAGGTTCTCCCTATGAATCCTAGGCTGGCCTCAAACTCATAGTCCTTTCTCAGACTCTTTGAGTGCTGGGATTACAGGCATGGGTCACCACACCTAGTCTCCTTTTAGAAGAAGGATGACATTAAATGTTCAGTAAACCTAGCTGTTATTAATTTAGGTAAAGAGAACAGCAAAAGATAGAGTTCCGAACAAAAGGAATTTAAACAGTAATGATCCTCTGAGGCATGGGCTGTCTCATCAGGCTGACTAGGGTCAAGTCCTGGCACTTCTAGTTACTGATGTTATTAACTTCGTTAAGTCTACATTCTTCACCCATAAAATGAGAGGGTAAATAAGTTATCTAACTCATGGGATGTTTGTGAGGATTAAATTGGGTGGCTTATCTCAAATATTTAATGCAGTGCCTGACACAAAGAAGGTTCTTTGTATACTCTGTTATCGTTGGAACTTAGAGGAAAGAGCCTTTCTAGTTGATAGATTACCTAGAACCTAGGCATAAAAACAGAGAAAGTAACTTCTGGCTCCTATTCTATATCCAAATGAATATTGGGAAAAACATTCAATATAGGGCCAGCAAGATGGCTCAGTAGATAAAGGTGCTTATAAAAGTGGAAGCCTGACAACCTGAGTTTGATCCCCACAAAATACAGGTAGACAGAGAGAACCAGCTCCACAAAGTTGTCCTGTGATCCCCATGCACACTGTGGCATGCAAGCACTCACTATAGATCACACACACGCACACACAATTTCTTTTTGTGGGAGGAATGTTGAGACAGGGTTTCCCTGTAGCCCCAGCCAGCCTGGAACTCACTATGTAGACCAGGCTGGCCTCAATCTCACAGAGTGCTGTAATTAAAGGCATGTTGCCACCATGCCTGGCTACTTTTTCAGTCTTTTTGAGACAAAGTCTCCCTGTAGCCCCAGCTGGCCTGGAACTCACTATGTAGATGAGGCCGGCCTTGAACTCACAGAGATCTACTTGCCTCTGCCTCCCGAGTGCTGGGATTAAAGGCATAAGCCACCAAGCCTGGCAAGAAAATCATCTAATATGTGAAAGCCCAAAGTATTTATGGGTTGAGTAGATAGTCCATGTTCACAATACATGTCATAGATAACACAAAGAATGTCAGAAAAGAGGCTGAGTCATGAATCAGTCATGAGCTTCGTTCTGGGTTTAGCTACTATGACCCAGCATGGCTATGTCTTTGGCAGATTTCATCTCTTACTTGCTACCACAAATAGAACTACATCACCAGGGCTGACAACGCAGTCTCTGGAGTTGGGTGTTTAGTTCAGTACCAAGCTCCACCACTTACTGGCTATGTATCTTCAGTAAGTTATTTCCCCTTCTCTCGTTCTCACTTTCTCACCATGAAGTAGTGTTAATCTAGGTATCTCATAAGAATTATAAGGTTTTATGAGCTCAAGGCCAGCCTGGGCTACATAGCAAGTTCCAGACCAGCCAGGGCTACATAATGAGAAAAACAACCTATCTCAAAAAACAACCAAAAAAAAAAAATTGTCAGGTTTAAACCAAGTGTGGTGGCACACACCTGTCATCCCAGCACTTGGGAGACAGAGTAAGGAGGCTGCAGCAAAGTCAAGACTAGGCTGGTCTATTTAGTGATTTCTAGGCCAGCCAGGGTTACACAGGAAAGCACAAAACAGTAAACAGCCAAAGCCCCCTGCCACTACTAAAAAGAAAAAAAAAAGGCTGGAGCTGGAAGAGGACTCTGTGCTTAAAAGTTACTGTACAACCCCGAGGACCTGAGTTTGGATCTCAGCACCTACATAACAAGCCACAATACAAACAGGGTCTCAGGCACACCTGTAGTCACAGCACTGTGGGGGGTGGAGACAGGTTGCTGGCACTTGCTGGCTGCCAGCCTAGTTAAAAAGAAAGAAAAAAAAAAACACGCTCCAAGTTCAGGATACACTAGACACATATACCACACACGCACACACACACACACACACACACACACACAAAATTGTAAGGTTTAGAATCTTATCTTGCAGAGTTATTGTGAGATCACTCAACACTGCTTGTACATGGGCTCTCAATAGCTAAGGGGGATTTGTCAGAGAAACTAACCTGTCAACATTAGCTCTGTTCTGTGAGACAAGCTATGGTGGCACACGTTGAAGCTAGAATCACTTATCTCGGAATGGAAGAGGCACAAGAATGATGGGTCACATAGAGACCACATAATGAAGAGATCAGAACAAAAAGCCATAGACTTGGCAGGCTGTGTGTAGTAACCTGTCTGCGATGCACTGGATACCAGCCCAGGGACTCTCCAGGGTCCTACATATACCTGTTTGGTTGTCTTTAATCCTTTCTAACAAGGCTGCTTCCATTTTTATTTTTATTCTCTATATAATTTGTGTGTCTGGCTGTCTTTTAAAAATATTTTATTATTTTTATTTTGTGGTTGAGTATATTGTATGCATGCATTTAAGTGTACCCATGTCATGCAGTGTCCATGGAGGTCAGAAAAGCTGAGTCAGATCCCCTGGAACTAGAGTTACCAACGGTTGTTAGCCACCATGTGAGTGCTGGGATCCAACCTCAGGTCCTCTACAAGAGCAGCCAGTGCTCTTAACTGCTGAGCCATCTCTCCAGCCCCATGTCTGGCTGTTTTAAAGATTCATTTTTTCTGTATTTTATTGATGTGTATATGTATGTGTTTGTGTCTGGGTAAATGTGTGAAAGTATCTGTGGAGGCCAGAAGAGGGCAGGTATGGATCCCCTGGAACCAGAGTTACAGGCAATTGTGAGCCTACTCAATGTGGGTGCTGAAAACCAAACTCCTGCCCTCTGGAAGAGCAGGAAGTGCTCTTACACTGAGCCATCTCTTCTGCCCCTATCTGGTTGGGTTTTGGGGTTTTGTTTTTTTTTTTAAGATTTTTTCCCCTTTATCACTAGATTTCAGTAGTTTGTGTGTGTGTGTGTGTGTGTGTGTGTGTATGTGTGTGTGTGTGTGTGTGTGTGTGTGTTACATGCGTGCATATGCATACAGAGACCAGAAGTTGATATTGGGTGTCTTTTTAATCACTTGTCACTTTAATTTTTGAGATGGTCTCACTAAACCTGAAACTTACTGATTTGTTTAGATTGGCCAGCCAACAGTCTAGGGAATCCTCCTGTCTCTGCCTCTCCAGCACTGGGATTACAGGCCTGTGTCACCATGTCTGGCTTTTTACATGGGTGCTAGGGATCTGAACTCAGGTCTTCGTGTTTGTACTAACTGAACCATGCTCCAAGCCCCTGATTTTAGGATTTTTTTGTATAAGCATGTTTGAAGAAAATATTACTTGCTATAGTTTGTTGAGAGTTCAAAAACTGGAAATGTTACTAGGTTATTATGGGAATAATTAAGATCAAAGCCTAGACTAATCCAGTGTGTTTATAAATATTTCTGCCAGGCATGGTGGCGCCCGCCTTTAATCCCAGCACTCAGGAGGCAGAGGCAGGCCTCTGTTTTTTGTATAAGCATGTTTGAAGAAAATATTACTTGCTATAGTTTGTTGAGAGTTCAAAAACTGGAAATGTTACTAGGTTATTATGGGAATAATTAAGATCAAAGCCTAGACTAATCCAGTGTGTTTATAAATATTTCTGCCAGGCATGGTGGCGCCCGCCTTTAATCCCAGCACTCAGGAGGCAGAGGCAGGCCTCTGTTAAATTAATTAATTAAAGGCCAACCTGGTCTATATAATGAGTTTCAGGCCAGCAAGGGCTACATAGTGAGACCCTATCTTTAAAAAATAGGGGGAGAGCTGGACGTGATAGCACATGCCTTTAATCCCAGCACTCAGGAGACAGGAGGACAGATCTCTGTGAATTCAAGGACAGCCTGATCTACATAGTGGGTTCCAGACAAGCTGGGGCTACAAGGAGACCCTGTTTTTAAAAATAAATAAATAAATAATAAATAAATAAATAAATAAATAAATAAATGGGTTTTTTTTTTTCAAGTACTTTCTGTGGTACATTAAAACCTTGTAGAAATCAGTTCAAAAGAAAAATGTTTGATGTGCCATCTCTAGGGACAGGCTTATTAAGAACAGTTCCACCTCTACAGTTCAGTGTTCTGAAAGTTTCTCCCCACTGCTGTTTTAGGGTAGGGTCTGGAGCTTATGAACAAGTTGTGATCAAACGCTAGAAGTCAAGCCAATGGACAGAAGCTTTCCTGTGTATAAAGGTGTGGACAATGGAGTATCAAGGTGTTTCAGTCACATAAGAAAAAAAGAACCTGCTTTCAAAATGAAGTTCAACTATCAAGAGGAAATCAATGCTGATTCCTTCTCAAAGCACCCCCCTCCCTCCTCCTCATCCTTTCCCACCCACTGAGAGGGAGTGTGTGAATCAAAGGCTAAGGTGTGGCCTGCATCAGTACCAGGAATGAAAAGTCTGCTTTTGTTTTCAAAGCACCTGGGAGGAAAGAGCACTGGACACATCTGAGTGTGATTTTAGTATTCCAGTGAAAAATCTGAGGTAGAGGTGCTCAACAGATTTAGGCTCTATGTTTTCTAAATTTTACATTTAAGAGATGGCAAATGAAGTCAATTTAAACCCTATCAATTATATCAAGATAATTATAATTCTCATGAAGGAAAACTTCCATATCTTACTGCCTGTAGTATTGTACTAACTTATTAACTCCAATAATTGCAATAATTTATAGGAAGTGTGGGTGTTCATGTTTTGGAAAATGTTATGCTACAACTTAAACATATAAAATGCGTCATAGTTCTGAATGTGTCACTCATAAATCAGATGACAAGTGTGTCCAAGTCTTAAGCAGGTGGGTGGAAGTCATGCTGTTTCTATGCAGTATGTATTGTTACTTGTCATTCATTATTAGATGAGCTGAAAAAGCCCCACTAGCACTTAGAAGAGATTCAAGGAAGCTTAACATTCAGTATACTAGGATACCATAGCCAATACATGAGAAGAGCTGTTCACTACTTCATTGAATACCCACGTTTGCTGGTTTCAGCAGTCAGAATTTAGAACAAAAGGAAAACCATGAGATAATAAGTAAAACAGCATCCTTGCTAAGTCAAGTCAGACATCGGTGAAACTGATGCTGATTCTGACGTGGTGGGTAGATATCGGAGCAACTACTTGATATTACTGATGCCGTAAGACTGGTGCTTTTCTATTTTAGCTCCCTTTGATCAGAGACTGTCTTTCTCCTTTATTATGTCAGAATTAGTTGTTAGAAGCAAGAGTGGACTGCAACAATCATCTAATGTAGCTTTAAAGATATAGCTGGTCTGGATCCATTTTAACAGCACGCAAGCCTTAGATTTTTTTTTTTTTCTGGTCTTACATGACAGTGTCCATGTACAAAGAGCTAAACTAACTTTCACTGAAGGAAAACATAAGATTTCATAGAACCAATGATGCCCCAATCCTTACTTTCAGAATTATGTCCAAAAAAGATAACAAATCAGAATGGAATTACTTTGGCTAAGGTATTTTTATGTTCACAGAATAAGGGGGTGAGTTGTATAATTTGAATATCCAGATTTGGAAGTTTGGAAAATTGGAATTGTTTGTTAGACTTCTTATTTTATTATCTCAAGAATTAAGTAGTCTACATTAATCTAAAACTATTTTGAAATAGATTCTGAAATTTTTAAAGGATAATGCCCTGTTTTAAAATATTTTGAATATTAGAGAAAGGATTTTCTGAGTTATAATGTTAAGATATATTTTTTAAAAAAACACATTGACCTGAACATTTAACCAAGAAAAATGTTATCTAAATAGGTAAAGACATGATATGCTGTCTGTCTTCAAGTGAACTGATCCATGCATTGTATGTTATAGAGAGATCAAAGAAAGTTTTAACTAGAGAGATGAAGATATTATTTAGAAATGTTTATTCTGACATTTTTTAGAAGCATATTTTTCTATTTTCAAAACATTATTTCTAGGCTATATTTTTATCAGTACTTCTGCAAATGATTTAGAATTTAAAGATGGTAACACTAGATTGCTAGCATGTTCAATGAGGCCACTCCTCAGCCACATACGAGGTGCTGCAATCAGGGCAGAGCCACTGTCTTACTTAGCCCTGGCTGCCCTCGGCCCTGTTTCTTCATACAAGATTAGGTCTTGGTATTTAAAATGGTACAGAATTCTTTAAGAAAAAATGGGTGGGGCTGGGAATACAGCTCAGTTGGTAGAGTGCTTGCCTAGCTAGGTTGTTCCCTAGCCCTGCGTAAACTGGACATTGTAATACATGCCTATAATCTCAGCGCTTGGACAGTGGAGGCAGGAGGATCAAAAACTTAAGGTCATCCTCAGCTTCATAGGATGCTGGGTGCCAACCTGGGCTACATGAGACCCTGTCTCAAAAAAAAATGTGAAGCAATTTAGAAAAGTGTAAAAATCATGCCTTTTTTATTTTAGCAGCCACCAAATATATCTTGATTTATATATTAGTAAAAATGAAATATAATTTAATAAGTAGAAACATTTAGGAAGGGGAAAAAATAGCTGTGTCTCTATAATTAGCAAATGTCTGGATTTTTATTCCTTAATATTTCATGGACATATTTTGCATTCATGTTTCAATATAGTTTAAAGGCCTGCCTCAATGTCTGCCTTACTTCCTAGTCTTTACTTTCCATAGAGCATGTATTGTCAGTCTCTTAAACACATGGCTATTTTTTTTAAAACTGCTTATTAATTACCAAGGCCACTTTTGATTCTGTTTTGAGTTTAGAAAACTATGGATTTAGAAAAGTATATTCTTAGCAAATTGATTGTTTTAATGTTAAAGATAAATTTCAAATGGCCCAGTCTTGAAGACTTTTTTAGATATGGGATTTTTTTCCCACTTCTTTCCTAGAGAAAAGGACAAATGGCAGTTTAATAGCTAGTATGTGTGACAAGAAAGAAGCATCTTAATTACCTCAAAGTTCAGAATGACTAGCTGGTCAGGAAAGCTCATCCTGTGACAAGCTGATGACAAGGTTGTAAATGGTAGTAAAAGACAGAGAAGGCCCTGGGTCATCAGGTTACACTTAGTGTTGGCTCCCCTGTGTTGTGGTATTGAAGCCTTCTGTATAGAAATAATAAAGATGAACACTTTCTTAAGAAAAAGTCTTGACCAAGAACGCTAAACTCCACTGTCTCATTCCAACATAAAACCACAATAATAATATCCAAACTAGATTCTTCTGTGTATGTTTTTGCGTTTTGGGTTTTTTTGTTGTTGTTGTTGTTGCTGTTGTTGTTTGTACAAAGCTGTGAGCCACAGGGTTTGACCATTTAGCCCCTTTGTTCCGAAGGGGGAAAAAATCTCTAGTCAAAACATATTCAAATTCAGGCCAAAGCCTGCTGGCCCACACCTGTAATCCTAGCGCTTGGAAGGCTGAGACAGGAAGATTTATATGAGTTCAAGGACAGCCTGGACTACATGGTGAATTCAAGCCCAGCCCAGGCTACAGTATGAGACCCTGTCTCAAAAACAAACAAAAATCAGGCAATACTGAGTTTTGAAAAGTTAAAAGTATCTAGAAGCAATTTTAGACTCTTAGATTTCCATGTTAACTAAACCACTCTTCAAGCTTAAGCTAACAGTATTGTTAAATATGTCATTGAAGTACTTCTGAAATGTTCCAGTATTTATAACAAATCTCTGAGAGACATGCTGGGCTCATATGATGGGATTGTATTGTTTTCTTGATAAGTCTTCAATGTGGGCATTTCAGAAATTATACTTGGTCAGTTCTCTTAGATGGTACGTCATGTGAATATCATCAAGTAGGGTAGCTGAAACTGTGTTGGCCACTCCTCATATGTTGGCTTAGTTAGGTACTGTGCTTAATGTTAGTAGTTGATATGTTAAAGAATATGAAGTCTAAAATATAAGGATAAAATATTCCTGTTTTAAGACTGTCCTGGAAATAAGGCCTTATTCCCTTATATATGTGATTCATAAGATTATGTATACACAATATATTTTAAATGGTAATGTGGGTGGTGTCCCCATACAACAAAACTGATAAAAATTTTAATTTACTGCGTGTTCTATATTTTCAAATGTATATGTTTATCTTACATATGTAATTCTTTTGCTGATATTCATTGACCAAATACCATGCAAAGAAAGATTATATAAGAATTTGATTAATTTTGAAAGTATGTCTTGAGGATCACCTTCCTCTGTGTTTATTTCATCCCTTGGAAGTTAATGTTTATTTAAAAAAAAATGTTACGGATAGCTAAGGAATAGTTCAGTGGTAGAGTGCTTACCCAGCATGCACAGAATCCTAGGTTTGATCCTCAGAGTTGAAAAAAAATGATACTGAAGTGATTCCATCAGTATTCTGTTCTAATACTTGGAGAATGACCTTCATATATATTATCTGTCTTTGTTTTAATTATACAATGATAAATCTAGGAAATTTTTTTTAACAAAAACAAAATTTTTATTTGTAAAAAAAATGTTTGTAATGTAAAAGTGGATGTTATACATGTTCAATAAAAAGTAATATCTCAAAAATTTATATGCTTTTCATTTTTTAAAGATGTATTTGTTTTTATTTTATGTGTATGAGTGCTTGTTTGCATGTATGTATGTGCACCGTGTGCATTCAATGCCCATAGAGGCCAGAGGAGGGCATAAGATTGCCAGGAAACTGAATTAAATAGTTGTGAACCACTGTGGAAGTGCTTGAAACTGAACCCAGGTCCTCTGTAAGAGCAGCAAGTGCCCTTAACCATTGATCCATCTCTCCAGCCCTCTCTTTTATTTTTTTGTTAAGTGTTAGAAAGTTGGGTTTGCTGGCTCATGCCTGAAATAACCAGCCCTTGGAAGGCTGAAGCAGAGGGATCATCATGGGTTTGAAGCCAGCCTGGGCTATGTAGTAAATCCCAGGCAGTCTGGACAACAGAGAGACCTTGCCTCAAAAATTAATTAAAAGAGAACTGTTGTAGTTAGCTGCAGCTGTGTACTTGACACAAACCTAGAGTCACCTGGGAAGAGGGAACCTCAACTAAACCTGGAGAGATAGCCAAGCAGTTAAGAGCACTGGCTGCTCTTGCAGAGGACCTAGGTTTAATTCCCAGCACCCACCTAGAGGTTAACAACTGTCCATAACTCCAGTTCCAGGGGATTTCATGCCTTCTTCAATTGTGCAGACATTGCACAACAGGGGGGTACCTACATACATGCAGGCAATGCACACATACACATAAAAAATAAATTTTTAAAAATACTTTGTTATTTTTATGTGTATGAGTGTTATGCTTGCATGTATGTACGGGCATCCATGTCGTGCAATGCCCACGGAGGACAGAAGAGGCTGGAGTTACAGACAGTTGTTGGCTGCTGTGTGGGTGCTAGGAATCGAACCCTGGTCTTCTGTAACAACAGTCACTGTTTTTAACCACTGAATCATCTCTCCAGCCCCATTTTTTTTTAATTTCCCAGATCAGACTGTCTAAGAGACATTGTCTTAATTGCCAACTGATGTAGGCGGGCCCAATCCTATGTGGGTGGAAACATCTCTGGGCAGGTGGGCCTGGGGCTGTAGAAGGAAAGTAGCTGAGAACCGGGAATGGTGGTGCACACCTTTAATCCTAGGACTTGGGAGCAGAGGCAGACTGTTGTCTGTGAGACCTGGGCAAGCCTGGTCTCCATAGCCAAGTTCAGGCCTGCTGGGGCTACAGAGAGACTCTGTCTCAAAAAGACCAAAATAAATAAATAAAAGCTAGCTGAACGTGAGCTGGGAAGCAAACCAGTAAACAGTGTTTTTCCATGGTCTCTGCTTCAGTTCCTGTCTTCAGGTTCCTGCCCTGGCTTTCCTTGATGATGGGCTATAACCTGTAAGCCAAATAAACCCTTTCCTCCCCCCAAGTTGTAGATGCTGGGAACTGAACCCCTTTCCTTCCTTTTACCTATTTCCATCTCTTCCCTCTTATACCTCTGTATCACATATCTAGCAGCAGCACATAGTGAAATTTCCCTTCCATTGTATGAGGTGAGATTAATCTATCCCATGTTCTATGACATGTAACAATTAGAAAATAAACAGGAAAAGCTCAAATTTAGACACTCCCTGGGTCAGCAATATACATTCCGTGAACTCCTGTAACAAGGAAATGTTAGTCAGAGACATTCCTGTATGAACTGGTTTAGATCCATTCCTATGCAATTACAACTCGGCTAAATTGAGATTTGGGGTTTCACCTTTGTTACGCTGGGGAGTCAAAGCTCTAGTGCACATGGTTATAGGAAATGCCTGCCACCTTCTGGAACTGAACTTCAGTGACTCCTAAGTGATCTTCTGTCTGGTTCTTTCATAGGTATTCATGGAATAAACCCAAAGGAAATACACATTTTTGACAGTAGTAGTTTTAAATTAAAACATTGGCCAAAAGTAGATTTTAAAGTCTTCTAACACTGCTTATATAAGGTGAAATTGTTTCCTCTGTTGTGCAATTAATGAAGCATTCTAGAAGTTCCAAAAGGAGTTCCACCAGAGAGCACCAGATGAGCAACTCGTTAAGCAGAGAGACAGGCCTGAACATAGACAGCAGCAGAAACACAAGTCATTCCATGAAGGCCAGGGTCCAATGGGACATGGTTAGTGTGTGGATGCAGGCAGCAGTGCTTCTAGGAAAGATACAGACAGCTTAATTTGACTACTCCTAACCTGAATCACAGCATACAGGATGAAATACGTAGAAACAAAAGATATTTATGGCATCAATGACAAAAGGGATGCAGGGAAGCAGTCATACAATTTGACCAGAACATTAAGAGCCCAACTATGGGCGGGTCCCGCGCACCGCGTTGCTGCTTGGGTCCCTGGCTCCCCGCGTTGCTGAGGCTCTCCGCGGCTACTGGATGCTGGTGACTCAGCGGTTGCTGCGCTTCCAGGCGAGTTCGTTCCAAGCTACCCGGCACTCCCTCTAGGTTTCGCGATCCACCGGCTGCCGGATCACAAGGGGAGGTGCAAGAAAGGCGAAAGCAGGATCTCCGGGAGTGAATGTTTACGGACAGCCCCTTCCGGGGAGATTGAATAAGAGACTGGTACAGCTCAGCTCCTGATACAGCTCCTTTATTCAGTGATTCAGCTCAGCTCCAGACCTTAGTGATTCAGCTCCGATTTATTAGGAGAAACCAGGATTTTTATAGTGTGGAGGCAGTAGCAAAAGCCTTAGTTGATAGGTGCTTTGTAGGATGCCCCATTTACATGTGGTGGTGGGCTTCTGCCAGGCTGTCAGACAGTGCCTGATTATCACACAGGAAAACCTGGCAGTTTCATGCCAGAGGACATGTATCTGTGACGGGCACTTCAAAAGGTGAGTCAGGAAGAGAGTAGGAAGGTGCCCAGCTGAGAAAGAGAGCCTCTGCATATGAACCCCGAGCCAGCCTGCGGCTATCCGGACATGGAGAGACTGCTACCTTAGACAGCAGGGGTCCCCAACACCCAACAAGTAGGCTGAAGGCATTAAGTATTAAGGGTTTTTTTGAGGGGTCGGGGGTAGAGTATATAACCAGCATGCAGGGTCTACTGTACAAATAATTTCTATAACCAGCTTCTTACCATATGTCAGTATTCCCAAAAGTTCTTTTTTTTTCCTGGGTGTTTGCAAAGATGTACATGATATATATTGATAAACCATGTTTGCTCTGGTCAGCATGGAACATCCTCCACAAGGCAGAAAAGGACTGTTCTTACAGTCTTCTGAAGACTCTGCATTGCCATCACTGATGGTGTTCGTTGACTTCCTACCAGCTGCTCAACACAACTCTCAGGACCAGGCCTAGGTGCGTGTTATTACCGGCACCCAAACTCCGGTGCAGTTCAATAGAACTGAGGCTGAAGACACTGCATGGGAACTACCCCACCTGCTGGGATGCAGCAGAGTGGAAGGTTGGACACCAGGGAGGACTGGGCAGCAAGGAGAATTAGGGATGGGATGGAAACTGGGCTAGGGTGTGAGGAATAGGGGAGCTGTGGGGAGTCTTGTGGAGATACTGAAAGGGGCCAGATTTTCACATCTAAATGGTCTGGGAACAACTTGAATGCAGAGGGTACTGGGAAGACTCAGGCTTCTGGAAAACCAGAAATATTTAAAAGTTTTTGCTATCATTTCCATCTCGAATATCCCCCAAAGAGCCCAAGGTGGCACTATTAGGAGATATTGCAGGAATCTTAAAAGTGGTAGAACATCGAAGGACATGGTACACGCCTGTAATCCCAGCACTTGGGAGGCAGAGGTAGGTGGATCGCTATGAGTTTGAAACCAGCCAGGTGTACATAGTGAG